TGGGGGGTGTGGGGGCTTAACAGAGGCTAGGTCACTACAGATCATTTTCAGTTTCATCCTTCTTTTATTTTATTTTTAATTGACAAATAACAATTGAATGCATTTATGGAGTACAATGGAACATTTCCATACATGTGTACACTGCAGAATGAACAAATTAAGTTAGTCAACCTATCTGTTACTTTGGAGGCAAAGTGTGTCTGTGACTCTGTCTTAGTTATTTTCTCATTGCTGAGACAAAATATCTGATGCACAGAGTTAAGGGAGGGAAGATTTATTTGGCTCACAGTTTGTAGAGGTTTCAGTCCATAATCTGCTGGCTCCAAGCAAGGTGGCCCAGCAGAGGGGCAACCACTCACAGCAGTGGAAGACTGCAAAATCAACCAGTGACCTTAACAGCATCTTTCTGCTGGTTTTATACTCATCTAGGTTGCTGGGATTGGGTGGTATCAAACCAATCACTGAACTGATCACATATCCTTAATCCCAGGATTATAACACACGCTACATTCAGTCACCTCTGAAAAGCACCCTCCCCATGACTGCACGAGGCTTTGGAAGGATATCTAGACACAAACCATAACACTCTGTAACTCTCTTCTCTCGTCTATGCCCAATAAGGCGAGCTCTCAGGGTTGTCATAGTAGTTGTAGAACTATAGATTTGTGAATTAAATAAAATTGAGGATAATTATCTGCAAACTGCCTTTGCCCCAACACCCAAGCAGAGAAGGCATTACAGAAAGTTAACATAGCCAGTCTAGCGCTCTTCAAACCCCGTCAAGTCAGTGTCTGCCTCCCTACCACCGAGCTCAGATATTGCTGCTACTCAGAGCCTTCCTCATCTTTATGCCCAGCTCTCCTCCTAGCCACTGAGTCTGGGATCAGGAGTGAAATCTGTAGTAGAAAATGAAACAGAAAGGTTCGTTATTTTTAAAAGTGAAATCTGGATTAGAGTCATATTCTGTTAACAGAAACTTATCTCAGAAACTCTTCTTATTTAGTTACAGTAGTCTTTCTACATGGGTAATGCTCATCATTTTAAAGGCAAGAAAAATTTAGTACTCTTACAACTTTTTTTTTTCTTGACTTTGTTATTAGGCATTTTTTCCTATCCTACACAGCTTCACTCATGAGTGGGGATGGATCTGAAAGCCACCGAAGTAACAGCTGTCCACCTTAGTGATGGCCTGGTCCGTGACTTCACCAGCGAGGTCACTAGTATGACTGTCCACGAGAAGGGCTTGAACTACACGATCAGGCTTTTGACATCAATCAGAAGGATCTAGACATATTTTCTTACGTTTGCCTTTTGATTTTTCATCTTTTAAGAAGAATACAAGGGGCCAAGGGTTTAGTTTAGTGGTAAGTGCCTGCCTGGCAAGCGCGAGGTCATGAGTTTAATCCCTGATACAAAAAAAAAAGTACAAATTTGAGCAGGGATGAGGCATATACAGATTAAATGGGAATATGATAATGATAATCTAATGATATAACGTTAAGAGATCCCACCATTTAAACATGTCTCCTTGAGAACGATTCGATTAGAAAGCAGTGAAGGACTTGAAAAGACATTTCTCCAAAGAGGATATGATAAGAACCAACTGGCACATGAAAATTCACTCAACGTCACTAATCAGCAGGAAAATGGAAATCAAAGTGCAGTGAAATACTGCTTCCTGCCCACTGGGATGGAAATGATCTGAAACGAGCAAACACAAGTGTTGGTGAGATGTGGAGAAACTACAGTCTTTGTGTGCTGCTGGTCCAGCTGTTGTGGAAAATACTATGGGAGTCCCTCAACATAGAATTACTGTATTCTGGCACCTCTGGACATCTGAACAAGTTAACACAGGAAATCTAACACCTGTACCCATAGCAGCATTATTTTTAAGAGCCAAAAAGTGATCCAAGTGTCTATCAAAGGATGAATGCATCAATAATGTGTGATGCAGACAATGGAATATTATTCAGCCTTCAAAAAGGGCCATCTGACCTGTATTACAACGTGGGTAAACTTAGAATACAATACACAAAGTGAATTCAGCCAGTCATAAAAGGGCAATTATGGTCTGATTCCACTTAGACAGAGATCAAAATAAAAAAAAAAAAAAGACAGGGTACTCAGTCAAACTCATAGATGCAAAGTGGAATGGTGTTTACCAAGCAGTGCCTGTGAGATGAGAAGAATGAGGAGCTACCATGCCATAGGTCCAGAGTTCCCATTTTGTAAGATTAAAAGCGTTCTGTGGATGGACGGATGACTAACAAGACCATGTGATTATAGTAACACAGAACTGTACACTTAAAAGTGGCTACAATAGGAAATGTTATGGGATGAAGATTTTCTACAATCAAGTCTCTCTACCTTTAGAGGCAAAGATCACGGATTTGCTAACTTTGCCTTACGCTACCTAGGAAGGAAAAAATGGCCCTTGAGTCTCCTCTACCAAGCACTCACTTATCCACACACAAACGCAAAGACCAAGCCAAACAAAAACCAGATACTACTGATCCTTCTTTACAATGAACACACCAAATCTCATAAATTAATTAATCCACCGGGTCAAGTAGTGAGACAGGGAGGTAGGAATCGAAGCTGGTTCTGCCTGACTTGGAAGCTTGTGTTCTTTTCACTCCCTGGTGTTCTTTTCTTCTCCCCACAGAAGTCTTTTGTGAGCAAGCTTTCTGCTTTGACTACAGAGCTTTTTGACTTTAAAGTTGGGTCTGCCTTCTGAAGTCTACTAAAAAAAGTCAGCCAGGCAAGCACACCCACTACATGCCCACCAGATGAGGCCCAGAGCTGGCCACGAATAATGGAATCACGTTCCCATTCAGCCGCTGGCCATATGGTAGGAGGAAAGACAATTAAAATTGCAGTCGACTCCCTCAAAAGCCTTACTCTGAGCAAAAGCGTTCTGTCTTTCAAGCCTCCATATGGCCAGAATAAGTGAAAATAGTCTCCTTTTGCAACATAGGAGCATATTCATCCTTTTTCCGAAACATTCTACCATCACAGTAACTGGTGTGCTGTTACTAATGTTCTGCTTCAAGTTAGAATTGGACAATTAAGGAAACATTTTGTGCTCTACAGAAAATAGGCACCTCTTACTTGTTTTCAGAAAGATAGCAGGGGGCCTCTTGACTTTGCTGTGCCTATTGGTCAAGGGTTTCTTTTCTTACTCTTTGTGTGGAACACACACACACACACAGAGGAGTAATGCACATTTTCTATGCCTCCCCAAACAAAGCAGGGTGTTGGCACTGTCTAGTGATTACAGCCTCTGCACGGATCAGTACCAAAGCCCAGTCCAGCTTTCCGACCCTCTACCTCGTTTCATGCCGTGCAGTTGGATGATGGGTCTCTGTGACCCAGCCCGAATCTGCTATCTGGGGAGATTATTGTTACATATTTTGCTAGAGGATGCAAAAGGAAATGGAAGTGGGGACTCTGAGCATGCCTTGTTTCACCCATAGCTTTGAATAAATTCAGCAAATCCTTCCGATGGGTTCTGTGGTTTCAATACCAGTAATATTTTGTCTCTTAGGAGTGGTGCAGGTTTACTTTAATGAAAAGCCTCAGAAAAAACAGACATTTTTCTTTACTATCAATGTAAGCTTCCTGTCTCTGAAAACGCTACTCAACGAATTCTAGGGAGCTAAACTAGCATCATAAAGATGGCAAAAAACAACGGAATGAAAACAGCAACCAACACCTCCAGCCCTGTGGCCCCAGTGACCATCAGAAAGGTATACACATTCTCAATAGTATTATTTGCTCTTTGAAAACGTGTATTTTAAAAATGTATGAGCATCAGCATTTGCCATTTTGTTGTTTTTACTCCACGATAAGTAGTTTTCTTTCTTTCCTTTGAAAAATTATCTCCTTTCATTACAAAAATCTAAGAAAATCTCTTTTGTCAATAATCATTATTGCTCAATCACACTTTTTGTGGAAGATACAAAGCTTGATTTAAAAAGAAAAAAGCACCCTACACAAGACTATTAAACTATTTTTCCTATATATCCTGTCAAAGGAACCTCAGTCTCAGCTCTAACGTTGTTTATCACACTTTTATCAATCATTCATAAATACAACAAGGCAGGACTCCCATTAAGAGTACCCATTGCTCAGGAAATTAAAGAATAATAATTATGCTTGCATGGTACTACTCCAGGGTTTCTACAGCATATACACGTAAGGAAACAGTATACGTTTTGTCCCTGCCGAGGTTAATTTCTACCCTGACCCACAGATGCACTGAATCCACGTACATATCACATCCACGCATCGTCAGGCACTCGTCCTAGCCTGCCGCGCTCCTGGGAGCAGGGGTGCAACTTCAGGCTGAGACCCACTGGCAGATGGGAGCTGTTTTCCTCAAGACAGTCACAGGGAGCCCAGGGAGGAAGACACCGTTTTTTCAAAAGCAAATACTGTCCCTCTGTATGCAAGTCGACTCTTTGTTGACCAAATAAATAAATAAAATCTCAGGACAAAGGGATTTAAACCCCCAACTCCCAAAAGCCAAATCACAACCATTATATTGCAAAGCACAAGCCAGCGGGGCACAGTAAGTAAGAAACAGAGAATGCCTAACGTTTCCCACAACTTAAACCCCTCGGCCAGGGGACTGCAGCTCCGTGGCCGGACCCCAGCTTCTCAGCTCCGGTGCATTTCAACTCAGCCCTGCTTTTCTTCTTGCCACCGAGCTGGGCAAGCCCCGTCTCACATTCAGCCTGTTTTCCCAGTGAAGTCACAAAAGCTAGGCACGGAGGAGGATTTTTGCTTTAGAAAAAAAAATGTGTCACACATTTAACCATCATCCTCCAAAGCCCTTCTAAAACCGCCTGTCCTGATCATCTCCCCCGAATCCTGAAGCAATGCACCCACCTTCCTTAGAAATCTGCCTTGAAATTTTAAAAAGCTCACGGGCACCGGTCAGTCTTCCTTCCCTCCCCTCAGCTAGAAAGGAGCAGCGTGGAAAACGCGTCCTTTACCTCGCTCCGGGGCTCGCTCGGAAGACAGTGGCTCCCCCTCACCGAGCTGCTCCTGCTCGCCGCGAGCTCCAGCCCAGCCCGGCGCAGCCCGGCCAGCAGTAGTAGGAGTCGCCACAGCGCGGGCGGGCGGGCGGGCGGGCGGCGGCGCAGCGCGGTGTGTATGTGTGTAGCAGGCGGCTGCAGCCCAGGGACTAGTCCCCACCCAGCTTTGTCTTCAGTCAGCGTTCTTGCTACAGGAAGCAGCGCATCTCCCACTTCCTCCTCTCTCGGTAGCTGTTGGCAGCTTTCTTGGTTTCCCTCTCAGTGCATTTCAGGGCTTACTCCAGCGCTTGTGCTTGCTCTGGGGCTACCGAGGGTGATGGCACTGTCATCCTCTTGACCCCTTGTTCCAAGTCCTTCTGGTGCTGTCTGCCTACAGCTTCTTTCCTCTTCCCATCCCTGCGCCCACACCTCCTGGCAGCTTCACTGCCTCTGTCCCGCAGTGGCCCCCTTCTCCAGGCACCTATGCCACTTTCTGAGCCTGAACTCGGTGTGCTGGTGTTCTTGCTCTGGGGCTGCTGCTATTGTTTTTATGGGCCCCTGGCGAGACTCTGGCCCTAAGATCCAGCACCAGCTTCAGCTGCACCCTCTGATTTACAGGGGGGCCTGTCTCCTTGCAGTCGGCAGCTTCTTGCTGCAGTTTCCCCTGTGGTCAAGGATGCAGTACCTGCACCAAGGTCCTGCTAGCTCAGATTTTACTTAACTCACATGCTCAGCAAAAGCACTTCTGTGGGATGTAGGGACGAAACTAAACCCTGCAGTGCAGGACAGACCCTGGCAGGTTTGCCTAGATGGAAAGAAGGAGGTCACACTGCAGGCGGTGGAGTCCCAGCCCAGAAACAGGCTGTGGGTTCCCCACCCAGGCAGGGCCCAGAGGACCCTGGTGGCCCTCCAGACCCCTGCTTCATTCTAGAAGTTACTGCTGACACAGGTAAGGGTGGCGCCAGCAGCCAGTCTGTCTGCCAGAGTCAGAATCCAAGCTGTCATTCCTGACTGTCACTTTGTGCAAATAATTTAACTTCCACGTACCTCCATTTCCTCATCAGCAAAATGGAGATGGCGATGGTCATACCTCACAGGAGAAATCAGGATTAAGACCGGTCAGAGATGCTAAGAATAGTTCTGGGAACAGGAAGTGTTCAACATATTCTAGCTTTTATTATTTTTAGAGGAGGTTAAAAGGCAGAGGTGGCAAGTGACTTGTGCAGTCAGTGGTCAAACCAGGATAAGAGCTTGGTTTTGCAGTTCCCCAACGTTAGTATATGCACGATTTAGCCCTGAGCCCTGCATCAACTCTCAAATTCGGAGTCATTTTCTCCTTCTTCTACAGACCGGGCAGTGCTGTGGAGTTGAGACAGCCTATCTTGCAATCACTACCTGAAAAGTAACGTCCTGGCCACAAGGGTCCATTCCCAAAGCCACTTCCTGTGCCTCCTCCTTTCTTAATCTTCCAGCAAGACAGGAAATGTTAGAAATCTAGGGCCGCTGCAGGATAATGCACCCAGTGAGCCTTTTTAACACACCTTGGGGACCACAGCACATTGTCTGGCAGGTATAGAATTTAATTTCAACAAAATGTTCTGAGACAGTCCCGGGATGAGTTTTGTTTTGATATAATGTTCAATGAATACAGTTTATTTTTTCCTAGAAATCTTTCATCAGAAAGGAACTGATGTTATCTCAGTAACATTCTGAAAATTGCAGATTGGGTTGTTTTAAGATGAAAACCAAGGAGCTACTTTTGAATCATCAGCAAATAGAGTTATAGCATTATAGGAAGATTTGGCAATGATTCAACATAGTGTGTTACCATCCAATTAGGAATCCTGATGTGAGAGCTTACTGGGACATTTCCCAGGTCCATTTAAACATACATGAGGCCAAGTCGAAGAAAAAGGAGACGCATGCGACTGACGGTTGGAAAGATTACGGAAACTGGAAACAAGTTTTGGTTAATTTTAGATCAATGGATTCTGGCATTAACTCTGGATTCAAATAGATTTTTAAAAATAGTTCCTACATTTTCTCTCACTTGTCAGAAAAATGGTTGGTTCATATATTTAAACCTATATATGTGGGGCCAGGGATATAGCTTAGTGGCACAGCACCGGCCTGGTAAGCGTAAGGTCCTGAGTTCAATTCCTGGTACCAATAAATAAATAAATCTATATAGGAAAACCTCTTTCAAACAATGAAATCACTAGGAATTTGACTTGCTGCCTTCTAATCTATTTTTACATCTCTGGTCATAAAATTCACAGTAAATTAATCTGACCCTGGCTGGAAGGTACCAACCAAACTCTTCCAATCCCAAAACTAAGTTTTAAGATCTTTTCTCTTCCTGTCATTACCTCTGCTTTTAATTCCTGCAAAGAACCTCTTTTTCAGGAGAGAAAAATAAAGAATGGAGCTGAAGATTGGCCGAGAGAAGATTAATCCAGTTTATAGCTCTTAATACAAACATGGTAAGTAATAAGGCTACACGTTTTGATTTTTGAAAAATGATAGAATTTTCGGTGAGCTCACTGTCATAAGTTCACACCCTCAGTTATTAGACATGATCCTTTCCTGCATGCATTAGATCAATGTCAAGACAAAAGCCTATAAAATACTTCAACATTCACAGGAGCCCTATTTGCAGGTATGAATGCCTCTATTTCTTTCATCTACCTGGTGGAGAAGGTCAATAATGAAGAAGACATAATTCTGGTCTGTCTGTCCTGTATTACTGAGCACACTAGCTCGATGTTTTCTGGAATTCTTCCGTCTCACAGTCCCCAAATTATATGCGTTTAGCTTTATCCAAAGCCTAGCGCTCCTTCTGAAATCTTCATTTTATTGAATGAAACATGTAAGTTAGTTGCCCACAGAAGTTTTGGCCTCTTACCTTGGGTCTCTCTCTGAGCCTTTCCCACCGAGGCATGCTTTAAAAAAGAAGCGTTGATTCCATCGCTGCTGCAGGTTTTCACTTCCTCCCAGCCCTACGGTTTCTGGTCTACGAAGCTCTGCAGCGTTACCTGTCTACACTCCAGCCGTGATGCCTGTTGTCACCCTACCATCCCCGAGGCTTCCTCGGGGAGCTCTGTTCATTTGTCCCCTGCCAGCTGACCTGTGCACCCCCTGCTGACAGACAGGCTCTGTGCCCTCCTCCATCGTGTCTGCTGGTCAATCCTACTTATTCTCCAAGACTCAGCTTTTCCCTCGTTTCTCCCATTCTGAGCACACAATAGTTTGACTCCACCTCCACTTCAGCACCAGTTGTGTTAATGATTTGCTGTGTGTCCATCTTAGCCGTTAATAACTGGGCCTCTATGGTTATGGTCATGTTTCATTCTTCTTTTTTGTTGTTTGCTTAACTAATGCAGTGGGTAGTTCGCAAATGTTTGTATGCTGAGCAGACATCATTGAAAGAAATTCCCAAAATAGTTTTTTTATTCCTTAGGGGGCCTGGAAAAGGGGAAAAGGAAGTCTAAAGTGAGAAGTTGATCATGGAATGAGAAACAATAACCCAGTATTTTCTTTGCGAACTGCAAAAAACCATACTACACGCACACAAAATTCTGAATGTTGGTTATATAGGCAAACCTAACGAATTCTGGGGCAATTTCTGGTCCCATTTCTTTCCTGAGTTGCTCATAAAGAAGCACAGTCTGGCAACAAAAAAGTAATTAAGTAAAAAACAAAATAAAACATGTTAAAAGACGTGGAAAAAAGGAAAGAAAACTATTTACCTGCCTCTCTGGAGAGGTTTTAAAGAGGCCAATTTATAAGCCAGAAATCCTTTTCCCCGTCTCTCCTACACTGTGTGGCCTTTGCCACGTCCCAGCTGTCCCAGAGCCCAGACTCCAGCTCCCCGACCTTCCCTCCTGCTCCCCTTCAGCCAGCTACTAGTTCTTTACTACTTTGATTGCTATCTCTGCTTCTCTGGATTCCGATCTCTCCCTGCCCTCTCTGCAATCATTTCATTGTCTCAAAGCCACTCCTGTGCGCATGCTTGGGCGGTGAGGATGGAAGGCTGGGAGTGAATTAAGAAGGTGAATTCATATACTGTACTAAGGCATCTCATCTGCTCCTAAGTACTGCTGCTACCTTTAATGACTCACTCAATTGTACATAGTAGTGAAGAATAAATACATGGGTTAGAGAGCTGTTATTTTATCTTGGAAAAGCCACACTTCAAGGCATTTCTCAGATTAGCTAAAGGGAGTAGAAGCCCCTCTATAAAGCCCTTCAACAAAGCATCATAATGCTCTGATCTATGTTTTTCAGGATTATTCCCTCCCTTAGATATCTGAGCCTGTCCCCGGGTGTTAGAATCTGAGGAGACTGAATCATAGCTGGTTTAAAAGAGTGAGATGGTAACTTAGGGCGGTGAGAAACCAGGCAACCAGCTCACCTCCCTGGTAAGTGGCTGTGGTGTTGCAGGCTGTAGCTGCTCCAGGGCGAGAACCACCAGCAACTCCTGAGATCTGCGCCATGTTGGAACTTAGGCCACTGGGAAACCAAGCAACCAGCTTGCATTCCTGCTAAGCAGTAGTGAGCCTACCTGCACATGGGCTGAGAGTCAAACATCCCACTTCACCCCCTGCTTAGCAAATGGGAGCCAGAGATCTGAGCTTCTCTTTCGAGGTTGACCATAGACAATATAGCAAATAAGGGGGATTTCCTTCTACCATCTCATTGAAGGCAAATATTCTTATCACTGTTTTGCCTTATTCTGATTAGTGGTATTGCTCTATCCAATATTCTGTTTTGATAAGTTCTATAATGTTCTGTATTTCATTTTATTTTGCTATACCTTATTGAAAGAACAACTATTGTGAAGATAACAAGATATAATGTGATACCTATTACTGTTATCCCAGTCACCTGCTGTGAAGTTCTGTATCAATTTCACTACACTGTCTCAACTGGCTTTGTTCCATCTTGTTCTGTGGTATTTTACTACCTTCAAAATAATTTTTAAAAAATTAAAAAAAAAGAGTGAGACAAAGCTGATCTTTCTAGAGAGAGAATCTGGCCTTCACCTTGTCTCCTGGTCCAACATAGAGGCGAGAAGGGTAAGGCATGTGAGGGCCAACTCTTCTTTCAGAAAGACAATGTTAGAAAAAGTTCTCCTGTCCCTTAGGACTAACTTGGGGACCAAATGGGAAACGTCCCAGACTTGTTTCTGATGTGTATGTCACACATGTGTACAAAGGGTGATCACAGAAAGTATGGTACATGCTTAAATCAGAAAAAATTTAATGCTGTAAAAAACACATTGCCATGAATCCCTCTTAAAATGCTGCCTCTTGCTTTGAATGCACTTATCCCATAT